CTACTTTCTGTCTTTGCAGATTTGCCTATTCTGGGCAATTCATGTAAATGGAATCATACAATGTGTGGCCTTTTATTACTGGCCTCTTTCACTCAGCGTAATGTTTTTGAGGTTCATTTGTGCTGTAGCATGTGCTTCATTCTTCCTATGGCTGAATAATATTCTATTGTACAGGTATACCATCCTGTCTTTCCAAGACCTGGAAAGGAATTCAGCCAGCTTGTTTTACACATGGGTAAACTGAGCTTCAGAGAGAAGTCAGTGCCCACACTGGGGAAGTCAGACTTGAAGGATCTCAAAGCACTGTGGCTCCCACAGGCTGTGAAGGAGGGAGGTGGCAGAGCCTGGAAAGAATACAGCTCTTTTTTTTTTTCAGCAATCCTGGCTCCATGGGCTACCAGCTCTGGGCCCTTGGGCTGGTCACTTCACTACTCAGGCCTCAGTTTCCTCTTAGGGGAGTGGTGAGGATCAGAGTTGCATCCTTCATTCAGGAGTCCCCTGAGCAATGGGCTGGGCACACGACATAGAAGGACAGCTGACAGCACCCCCCTGGGCAGATGGTAACTGAGATCACAGAAATACACATTGACATTGTGCACAGTCTCCAGGAAGAAGGCTAAGGGGCTGGGAGGGTGACACTGGGAGCTTGGAGTGGACATGACCACAGAAGGCTTCCCTGAGGAAGTGGCCTCCAAGCTGGATAGAACAGAAATAAGAAAGAAGCATGTTCCAGGATCAAAGAACAGCAGATGCAAAGGCCTGGAAGGTATGCCAAGTGCGGTGGGGGCCTGGTGCCCTGGACATGAGCTGCAGACTGCAGAGAACCCCCCTCCCTACCTGACGCCGCCCCCACGGCCCCTCTGCCCACCCCCAGGAAATGGCGGCAGCAAGGTTAGGCCTGGGCCGAGTCCACCCAGGATCAGCCATCCTATTTCTGTGCGACATGCAGGAGAAGTTCCGCCACAAAATTGCCTACTTCCCGCAGATCGTCTCAGTAGCCTCACGCATGCTCAAGGTATGGCACTGACCCTCTTCTCCCTCAGACCATAAAGTCCAGGTCCCCCAGCTCCTCCTCCCTCAGACCCAGGAGTCCAGGCCCCCAGCCCCTCCTCCCTCAGACTCAAACCTTTGTTCCCCCTCCCCCGGCACAGGTGGCCAGGCTGCTGGAGATGCCCGCTGTACTGACGGAGCAGTACCCACAAGGCCTGGGTCCTACGGTGCCCGAGCTTGGGGCTGGGGACCTACAGCCACTCACCAAGACCTGCTTCAGCATGGTGCCCGTATTGCAGCAGGAGCTGGACAGTAGACCCCAGCTGCGCTCTGTGCTGCTGTGTGGCATTGAGGCACAGGCCTGCATCTTGGTGAGATACTGACTGACCCCTGTGGTTCCCTATTCTCAGTTGGGATCCCCATCCTGACCCATGACCCTCCTCCTGACCTGGTGCATTCATTCTCACCTGTGGGTCCCATAATGCCCTAAGAACTGTTACTAACCTGGGCACCCTCTGCTCTGATCCACACCTCCCTCATCCCCATTTGGGGTCCTGAATTCTGACCCAGGATCCCCAATCCCTCACCCGGGCCCCCTGCTCTTTTCTGGAGTTGGCCTTGACTTCTCTACTCCCAGAACACAACCCTGGACCTTCTGGACCGGGGGCTAGAAGTCCACGTGGTGGTGGATGCCTGCTCCTCACGCAGGTGAGAGGGTTCCTCCCAGGGGTGGGTGCATTTGGAGGGCAGCTGTGGGCATCTGGGAAGGACCACAGGGTGGCATTCCCACTGCATGTACCAGAGTGTCCAGGTATCTAGGCCTCAGTGTCAACACCTTCCTTTTTTCTCTCCCCACTCACAGCCAGGTAGACCGGCTGGTGGCACTGGCCCGCATGCGGCAGAGCGGGGCTTTCCTCTCCACCAGCGAAGGGCTCATTTTGCAGCTTGTGAGTGATGCTGCCCACCCCCAGTTCAAGGAGGTAATGGCCCCCTGCACTCTCTAACCCAGGCCATCCCCACTTCCTATGTATCCAACAAATACTAGTATCTTTTCTTTGGGCTTGTGGAATACTGTACATCCAGGTACATGGCAGGCTGTCACCGCTAGGAGAACTAAGTTCCGGTGTGGGAAGCTGCCCATCACCACAGTAAATGAATGAAAGGAGATGGCAGGTGGCCATAAGGGCTGTAGAGAAAGATAAAGAAGGGGAGGCAATCCAGAGTGTCAGGGTGCAGAGGAGGAGATTGCACAGGGTGGTTTGGGAGGCTTCCTGGAGAAGCTGACTTTAGAGTGAAGTGAGGAAGGGAGGGAGCCAGGCAGACAAGGGCGAAGACCCTGTAGGTGGACGCCTGTTGATCCACCTACACACACTCCTCCCCAACTTTCCATCACTTTGGCCTCTGCCTGGGTCAGGCCCTGTCACCTCATACTCCAATCTCTCAGCCTCCACACCCACCACCAGAGTGGCCTTCCTGTACTGAGGTCTCATCAGGTACTACTGCTACTCACCCACCACCCCCAAACCCTTGGTCCTCAGGATGGCAGGGAAACATCAGAACTTGACATTCCCCAGTCCTCCAAGGTCTGCCCCTTTCCCTCCTTTTAGTTCAATTCAGTTGAAGATTTATTGAGCACCTACTGTTTGCCAGCTCCCAGGATAATAACAGGGTTAGCCATCCTGGAGTTTGCATCACAGCATGGAGGTAAAAAGCCAATCTGTGTTCAGTTACACAACTGTTACTGGAGAGGGAATGTGCAGAGGGTTTGAGAAAAAATGATGCCTTGAAGCCTAAACTTGGAGGGGAAAGAGCCACCAGTCATTCACACAGTGTTCTTGGCAGAGGGAACAACTGGGGCATGACCAGGAGGTGGGACTGAGCTTACCTTATTCAAGGAAATGTAGCAGGGCATGGTGAGCACATGGGGTGGGTATAGGAGGAGAGGAGGCAGGCAGGAGCCAGAACCATCTTCAAAAAGAGCTGGGATTTTAGCAATGAATAGCCATCAGGGTTTTTTGCACAGGGGAGTTGGCCACAGTCAAATCAGCAGTTTACAGAGTTCGCTGGTGCTATGCCAATAGATGAGGGTGAGTGACATGGAGGGGACAAGGGAGGCCAGTGAGCAAGCTCTTCAGGCATTTAGACAAGCGGTATTGGGGGCTTAACCAGGGTGGAGACAGTGGGGATGCAGGCTTTGTCTTCTGTTGTTGTTTCTTGTTTTTTTATTTTCTGGAGATAAACTTGGCGGGACTTGATGATGGATAAAATGTGCTTAGTTGCTCATGTCTTTCTAAGAGGCAGTTTGGTAAATGAGTCTGGCATTCAAAGGCAAAGCCTGGGCTACATTTGGGAGTTGAGGGCCCAGTAAAGGGAAGGGAGAGATAAGGTTACTTAAAAAGAGAAAAGTGTAGGGGCCGGCCCGTGGCTCACTCGGGAGAGTGCGGTGCTGATAACACCAAGGCCACGG